CCGTGGGAGCTCTGCTGGTAAGAGCAAGGTTGTTGGTGAACGCAGGCACGTTAAAAAACGTGAAAGATGATGAAAACTTCGTATGCCTTTTTGTAATGTTATTCGATTTTATAAAATGTCAAATGTTGAGGCACTAGTTGGAAAACCAACTTATAGCATATAACTTTAGTAATTGATAAGACGCTTCTTGAAATCGCAGCAAATTCCGCTGTCTGCAGAAATTGATTCTTCCTTCCTGAATGTTCCTCCTAGGAAGACGTTGTCTGATGCTAAGACTCCTGGTCAGGAAGGACAGTAGTGGGCTTTCCCTGGCATCTGGCATCTTCCCAGGCCCTCATCAGCACCCGGCACCCACCTATGACTTTTTAGTTTCTTGAGGCTAGTGAAGAGGATTCTCCCTAGTGCACTGGACAAACCCGCATTTTAGTTTAATAGAAATCTAGACAAATGAAGTTAAAATATGAATTACCATATGAATGCCTTACTGATATTTTTCTTTAAAATAAAAAAAAAACCTTGGAATTAGATGGGTTCTTTAACTTAAAATGATCATGGCATCAAAAAGATTAGTTCATAGTAATGATGTAACTACAGTTACCCCATTACCTTGTATCACTTACAAGATGGTAAATTTAAATGTAGTTTTATACGCACAGTAGGTAACTAGTAAATTTGCTGAGTTCTATCAAGTGGAGCAGTTTTGGGGTTAGAACAAGGGGCAGTTACTGCCTGAAGAGCTAGAGAGAGAACTGCACTGGCAAGTGAGGACCCGATTAGAGAGTGCTTGGAATATATTTCTCATTAGTTTTAATTTTACTTTCAGTGTAGAGCTGTGGATGGCTCTGGAATGAGGAAATTGACATGTGAAAAGCAGCGATTTAGAGTTGGATGTGGCAAGTTGGTTATGATGGATTGGAGCAGGGAGAGATAAATTGCATACAACTCCCTTCTCAGACATGATTTTTGTCCCCTTATTCCTCTTAAATCAGGTAACCGCTTTGTTTCCCTTTAACCTCATAAATGATATCCCTTTATGCGACCTGAATTGTCATTTTCTTTGCGTTTGCCTTAAAAGTAATTCCAAAGTAATTTTTACTTTTTTGGACATTGCTTTATAAGTAATTCTAATGTTATTTTCTTGGACGTTTTCCATCGCCATATAGATTGTACCTTTTGTGAATTGTGACCATTCTGTAATATTTTATGTGAGGGTAGATGACACAGGAAATATTTTATTCATTCTCCTATCTTGTAACAGAACTTTTCCACCAATTTATAAAACTCAGGTACTCTCATTTGAAATACTTTTGGAGGTTCTCTCTCCTTCTGTGTGGGGTTAAAAGGTAACTATTTCATGCATTCATTTTAACACCTATTAATTAAAATCAATTACTGCAAAATATTTACGGTATCATTTTCTGAGGTGTGTTTTTTAATGAAGAGAACTATACAGACAAGCAACTATAAGTTTTCTTCCACATCTTTACCCTCCCCTTATTTCCTACCCCCAGGGTTCAAAGTCCTATTTTTAAGACCATTATTGTTGAGTTGTTTTCCTTAATATCTGTCACATGCATTTGACTGACACATTTGTTGAATGTGCCAAGGGGCCTTCACTGCAGAGCCTACTGAACTTTAAAGGCTTGTTTCTCTCTTCAAAGAAGCTAAGTCAAAGTAATAATGGTCCTTCAGAAGCCAGAGACTCCTGGGTCTTGACGAACTGGCAGGGAGTCTCCGGCCGGGCCTGCCTCCCGCCTGCAGCCCCGGCAGGTTTGACGGGCCGGGCCCCACAAAACTGAAAGGCTTCCTTTTGAATGGCAGCCCGCCACCGACGGCTTTGTCGGTGTACACCCTGAAGCAGCATGAAACCCAGCTGGAAATGAGAGCGGAGTTGAAAGGAAAGGGCCGTCCTCAAGGGAGAGCAGAAGGATGGTGGCCCACTGCACGCCCGAAGGGACAGGAGCCTCCGTCAGTGCACATGGGGCATCCCAGCTGCTGGGAACATGGGGAGAGTATCACCCCTGCCAAATGCCCTCTGTCCTAAGCCCGGGGGACCACTGCATTTCAGATAACCTTCCCCGCTTTGGGCTGGGGTGCAGTGGGTTCAGTAGTAACAAAGTGAAAATGAGATGTTATAAAGGCAACTGTTCTGTTTCTCTTTCGAGGAAAAGCCTAAAATTGCAGTCAATAAATTAGTGGTAGAAAGAATAAGATATTGCTTTTCATGGAGCTAACAAAATTGGAAAAATAGATATTTTGTCATTGATATCATTTAGCTAAATTTCCTATATTTTGGTACTTGTGGAACTTACGAATTTTGATGGTGCTTGTACCACTGCTATTTGGTTTTTACCTTTCACTACTACATTCCCATTTTTTGAGGTTGGCAACTTGATTGTTAAAAACAGTAGCAACAACTAAGGCCCATGTTGTCTTTTAACACGCTGGTTTATTTCACAGCCTGAAAAGGCCAGAAGATGACCCAAATGTTATGTTATCTAGGGACCATCCATTCCTCCCTAGCTTTGAGTATATTTTTTCTTATTTAATAATTTGTGTAATAAACATAGATAATACAAAGAAATATACCTAGTTTATTTAGCATTGTAGTCACTACTGATGTAGTAACATTTAACAAGTGAATCATAAGAATTCAGGGCATATAGTGTGATGTCTAAGATCATCATCAGTAAATATTGGCTAATTACACAAATGACTGTCTCCTGCGTTTTAACAAATAACAGGAATTGGATTGTGGAGATATGTTTCTCAAGAAGAACAGGCTACTGGCTCCCTATCTGATCCTGTGGAATAGAAGCTACATTTTCTAACAAATAAACTTTACCATGTGAACATTTTATTGTGTATTCAAAGAGATCTGAATATTTTTTTAAATTTGTGATTTCTTTCTAAAATGTATCTGGAATAACTGGAAGCCATAGCGTGGGGGGAATTAATAACCACCATACTTGATTGTTTGCTAGAAATCAGCAGTTTGGTCCAATGTTTAAAATTGCTTCACTGTATTTTTATAAAGATTATATCGTACCCTGAATTGTAAGTTTTTAGAAAGAATTCTGTATGAATGTTTCCTGACACTTTCTAATCCTGTGAAATATCTATTAATAAGCATTCACAATAAGTACACGTGTTCAAGTTTAAAACACACTGGAACTTCATTATAGTGCAACCTCCTGTGAGCTGAATGCTGCGCTAAGATCATAGTGTCAGATTTTCTATAAGGGTGTCCAGTCACGGAAGTGGCACAAGATTCCCATATAGAACCTTTTACTCCTGGGGCAGACCAGTGACATTGACCCTGAGACCTTCACGCTTAATTTCATTTTTTTAAAAAAATTCTAAACTATACCTGTTTGCGTACCTCTAAAAGTAAAACGAACATTGGCTTGAAATAACAGTAAAGGATATTTGCTTCTCTTCTTCTTAAAAAGGCCATGTACTAGGTAAACCGGGTAAAGTCATTTAAATATCTTCGTTGGCAACTGTAAATCTTTTGTAAGTTATTTGCAGCAATTGAATTGAGCGTATACTTTATATATGTGTATGATTTCTGAGAAATACCTACTATGATTATTTCTGACTATATTGAAAGCTTACATTTGTATTGTGGTATAAATTAGTTATAAATCCTGTTTTATTGTATTCAGTTGCATTGTTTTCATCAGGCAATTTATCACATGGATGTATGTGAAATTTCTTCATTTATTAAATTCCAGATTACATATTTCAAGCCAGAGCAAGACTTTAAACATTTTTCCATAAGTATAGCTGCAGGTAAACAAGCAATTTTAGCCCTGAAAATAGCTTCTGCTTCTGTCAACACGTTGTTTATTCTTTCTCTGAGATAAAAAGTTCAGTTTTCTGATATTTGTACCGAGATAAAGTCAGTAAACAAGATTAATATAGTGTGGAAAAGGTTGTCAGCAGCCCTGGCAAAGGAAATAAGTTGCCTGAACATGGAACATACTGTAAACTGAATAAAAGTGTCAGGTCCACCATGAGATAATGTGATCATGAACCTCTAACAAAGCGTGACGTGGGCACAGTCGGCTTTTCTCAGAGCCACAGTGGGGAAAATGGATTACCGCGTGCCAGGGATGCCCGCTGAAGGAGTGTGGACACCTCATTTGGAGACGGATGCATGGTGTAGCCCTGGGGCTGAGCTGCACATTGACCCGTGGTGCCCAGACCCGGGGTTATTAATGTCATCTGTGCCCATGGGCAACATCTGCATTTCTTGGGGTTTCTGACTGCACACCGGCATCCTTGTTACCTCAGGGACACGAGAAGAAATGCATGTTTGAAAATGTTAGTTTCCCCCACCCCCGGTACCCTTCTGCTTCAACATGCCTTTTTAAAAGTCTGTACTCTCAACGGCACTTGTGCAATTGCAGAGGGATTTTCTTTTATTATGACAGAGTATAGCAAGACCTGCGGTCATTAAGTTTGCATCAGGCGGATGGTCACGGTGCGTTCCTTTTTGTCTAGTGCTGCCTGCCTTCTCTTTGAGAGCCCCTGGTAAGGCAGGAGAGTTGTGAATTCTTTTTTTAATGGGAGTAGGTTTCATGATGGAAATACTTTTGAAACTTTAATTCATTATCAGACTTGTCATGTAATTTAGACATAAAGAAATAATATATTGTTCTTTTAGGTGAACCTAACAGTTGTTGCACGCGAATACACAGGTAATTCCTACCTTGATGGGGAAGCTGGAGAAAGGCCTAGTATAGGCACTTCCTTCAGTGTTTGTGTGCGTTTCAATGTGTGCCTTTGAATGTACATTGTTTGTATTTAGGGATTCATTGCAAACTCATTGGTCTTGGAAATGCCATCTGCGGTGAAACTGTGCTTAGATTTTGAGGTTTAATATTATAGGCTCCAATGCAGAGTGGACGTCTTCAAATGGAAATGTCTCTGTGACTCACTCCCGTTCCGGAGACTCACCCCTGGCTTACTTCTTGTTTTAATTCTCCCCCCAGGGCGGCGCCCCTGGCCCTGTCAGCAACAAGAGGATGGTCCACTTCTCTCCGGACTGCCACCACGAGTGAGTACGCGCTGACTTCTGTGGCTCGCTGGGGTCGGGCCGTGTCCTGTTTGGGGGAAATCCGGAGCTGTTGCCAGTAACGGTGGTTTAATTTGTATCCAGCCTCGGAAAGAGTAAATATTTTAGGCCGATGACCATTGTATAAGAACCATTTCCATGAGTCCCATGGTAGAAATTTAAATAAGGGTTTTAAAATACTGCCGTTCTTTAATCCATGATATAATTTGAAATTCATGTATTATCTTTAAACATTTAAATGTTATTACATTAAGTAGCTTCTAGTTCTTCTGCAGTCTCACATCCTTCCTCCCCCAACTCTTTCAAAGTGATTGACATGAAGAGTCAGTGACTTGTTCTGAGGACACTTCTGTGCTCTCTCCTGTCCAGCATAAGGTGTGAGGGACCGTATGTATGTCCATTTAGCAACAAAGGGAAGAAGCGGATTTACTACATAATTCCAAAAATTAAGTCATTGAGCTTTGACTGTGATGAATTCTTGGGCTAATTTCTAGGTGCTAATTCTATTTCTAAATACATCTTTGTTTGGGAAAGCTTAAATACATTATATATTTTGGCTCAATACCATATGTCCCCTTTGAAGTTGGTTGAACTTGAGAAAAGCCATAACATGTGGAAAGACTTGAATTAATCACTGAATGATTTTTTTCTAGCAGGCAATCATATTAGGATCCATTAGATCCTATTTCTAAAATTCATTCCTTAATAAATATAAAAACAAAAATTATAGTTTAGAGATAGCTTATTTTATATAGGTTAACTATTATTTATATAATATAAAATGCTATTTATGTAGATGTGATTTTATATAGATATTCATTTTAATAGCTTATTTCCTTCATTTTTATTATTCCATAAGATCTCCTCTCTATTGTTCCTTGAACAGAAGGGGGGGCAAGCAGAGCAAAACATTTATTATCTGAGAATGGCAACCAAAAGGCTTGTATATTTTCTTCTTAACGGACTGTTCTGACGTAAAACAGAAACTACAGCAGGCGTACTTGGAGCTGCTCCTAAGCCGCAGACTGTGTGTGGTGACGACCGCCACGCTCTGTGGGCAGACCGGGCTGGACCTCGCTCTCCCGCTGTCACCCCTGGCCCGCAGTGCCTGGCGGGAGTCAGTGGTTACCGAGGGAATGAGACAGGGGGTGTGGGTTTGAAATGGGGCACATTAGGTGATGGCAGCTCAGTGTCGCTTGTCAGATGAGCTGGTACAACCCTGGCTGTACCCTCCTGACACCCCTTCCACTCCAGTCTCCCCAGGGGTTCCCCATCAAATAAGATTCTCTGGGGGGGACCTCAGGTGTCACTGTTTTTCGAGTTTCCCAGGTTACCCCAAAGTGCTTTATTACCATCCCCTCAGCACTTGGGATGGAGATGGACTCACTTGGTGACCTCGCATCCCACGTGCTGCTGGTCCAGCTTCTTCCGCATCCCATGCTGACCCATCTTCCCCACTCCCTGCTTCATGGCCTTCATTGAAGCTCTGTTAGCTTTCATGTTCAGGCTGGCGGGCCTTTCTGTCTCTGTTCTCTCAATTTCAGTCCATGGTACTGAACACCACTCAAGTCCGGTTCTGCCCCTTTGATTCTCTTACTTAAAACCCAGTTGCCTCCTGCTGGTGGGGAGAGCTCCCTAGCGTGTCACTCGGCACCCTCCACAGCCAGGCCGCCATCACCTGATCACCCCAGCCATTCTCTGTCCCTCCCAACGCTTGGGGTCCGGCTGCCTGGTCGGCCTCTGTTCCCCGCATATAACCCCCGCCTCGCTGCCCGCTGTAGCCTGTGACTGTGCTCACACATTGCCTCCTACCCATATCTATCAACATCCTATTTCTAATTCAAAACTGATTAAAAACCATCTGCTTATTAGAAGGTGCGAGGTGTAAGTAACAGAACAGCTCTGAAGGAGTTCAATAATCAAGAGACTGCTCTAACCAAGTTCATTTACCAGTTTGTTTGAACAAGGTTTCTAGGCACTCAGATCAATGAAAACACAAATTATGAATAGAACTGATGATGCTGAAGGTAATATTCATCAAGGGGTACATGAACTATTTTGGGGGGAAAAGCTATTCATGATGCCATTCTAATAAAATTTTATTTTTTATGGTATTATCAAATTTTGTTATTTCTGCTCGTTTAATTAATTGAATACTATGATAACTCTTTCAGTTTGAAATAACTGATTGTTATCAACTAACAGTTGTTATCAGTATTGACTGGTCAACTTTTCCAGATAATTTTTAGCTCTAGTTTTATAGTCATAGAAATTTAAGAGAATCATATATATGTGTGTATGTATGCTCTGGTACAGATAGATATATACATGCACTCATTTTTGACTCAGAGCAGTATGATTGAGTTACTACTGAAAGGCTTTGAGCATGAAAGTCTATTACATTCAGATAAACTGTGAGTCAGTCAGTTAGAAATTTAAGGGGTCCAAAGGGAAGAAAAACACATGCAAAATGTTTAACTTTTAAAGAAGTGCTTGTCTTGTTTTTTAATATCTAATCACAGTGATATTTGGATGCCTATATGTGTGTTTAAAAAGGTGGTGTATGGTTTTAAAAGCTATCTACCTACCTACCTACCTACCTACCTATCTATAATTGATAGAAAACTAATGCTTTGTAAATATTTAAATTTCTGGTGAAAAACTTCAGATGGCAACAGGAGAGTGTGTGGGGAAGATGTGACCATCACTCTTCAAGGAACACAAAGCGCACTCCCAGAAACCCCTATAGACGATGCCTTGACCGAACAGCGGTGTTGTTGACTGTGCAGAGAAGCCCGGCAGGCAGGGCCCGCGTCGGCCTCTGCCCCCTTTTTAAGGGGCCTGGGGAGGTTTGCCCCAAGCTCCCCCAAGCAACTCTCCACACCTTTGATGTTCTCCCATAGGAACTGTGTCCTGCTTTTCTTTAAGTTTCTTAAGACGTATAGCATATGCTACAACAGAGAAATTAGCATCCGATTTCTGAGAAAATATAATGTTGACTTTCTGAAAATACATATATTAAAATGTGGGAAATAAAATTGATATATGACTACCTATTATTAAAACGTATTTTGAACATCAAATGAGGTTACTTTTTATTCCCTCCATTTCCCTTTACATACTGGTCCTAGATGGTTCCAGAACTTTTTCACACTTTTTCCCAATCACTTCTGAGGTGCTCATTTTTAAACTGAATAAATGCAATTTATTAATTGATTTTAAAATTGATATTTATATTGTGCTTGTGTTTCATTTTAAGGATAGGATATTACCTGAGGGACTACATATACGTTAAAATTTATTTTAAATGCTCATGGGTAACTACTTAGAATCCCACGATGAATTCCTTTATAAAGCAAATATTCACCCTTTATTTTATCTTTTGTGCAAATATTGAGTTTGCTTAAAGCAAGATTTGCCTGGATTAAAGGTTACGTTCATTGGGAATACTTTCACACTTTGAAATTTAGCATAAATGGCTTTATAGTAAAAGTGGCTTTAACTCTGTGTTGAGATAAGTAAGATGTCCTGGATCAGTTCCTCCGCTGATTCACTGTACTTCCCTGGGTAAGTCATCGAGCTCACGTAGGTCTTAATTTTTAGTTATGGAGGAAGGATAATAACGGTTTCTCCTTACAGAAGCCATTGTCACCACATACTGATGAGAAATACAGAGCGGTTATTAAACTGCATTTCAAGATGATGAGGAGGATGCTTTATTTGGATAGTGCATTTTTAGAGCATTTTTGTAAGCGCCGCTCTTGTTGACATGTTTGCTGCTTCACCCCGTGTCATGGACAGTCTGATGCCTCTACAGTCATACACTGCGCTGACCCAAAAGCCAACTGGAGAAGCAACGCCAGAAGCATCCCTTACATGTTTGGCAGCACGTCACACCTGTTGGGGAGTCCTACAAATACTACCTATGAGCCCTGGCGTCTCTGATGACATTTAGAGATAAAAAGTCACCGAATGACAGTTCACATTATTGCTATGTTCACTGTGTACAGTGGGGGAAGAAAATTAATATTTAAACAATTATGTGCCAGATTCTTAGTCTTGTTTAAGCCTCCCAATACTCCAAGGGAGACGGGGTTAATTTTGTTTTGTGTGTGTCAAGCTTTGTTCCCAGACATGCCCAAGCCGCATCTGTATCGGAGGGAGAACTGAACTGGACAACCAGAAGGCTGTTGTGAGGTTTAAATGAGATAGTCTATGTGTGACCGTTAGCATGGTGTTGGGTGGCAGGGTCCTAACTGTGGAACAAATAGGTTCAAGGTACGTTCAGCTGATGCTCCCAGATTCACATCAACGGCCTTGTGGAACACAGCCAGTGGATATAATATTCTTGTATTTTTCATGTTTTTTAAGACTCCCAACAATCAAAAGATCATAATTTGTTGTAATGATGCCATAATTAAGTTGTACTAAATGATAGCATTTGTAGATTTTATAACCAGAATTGATTCATAAAAAGAATACAGTCCCAGCAGTTTATGTTAACATAATTAAATGGAAATTTAATTCTAACTGAGTTTGCTTATTAAATTGAAAATTACTGGGTTGTGAGCACTGTTACATTTCTGTCAAAATTGCTCTAAGTCTAGAATTACATGAAATATCCATTAAAATAAAGCATATTTAAGGCTCTGTGGCGGGTGGCAAATACGTGTCTTAAAACTTATGCAGATTGATCACGGGAGAGTACGTGCTGCTTGTGGTGAGGTCCATGCTAGCTAACGCCTTCTCTCCTTCCTCCACAGCCACTGGTTTGGCCCTGGGGCTAGGACGGAGCACAGCCAGGTAAGGGACCTTCTAATCCAAAGGACGCTACTCAGCCTGCTTCAGGTACTGACCTGTGGCCCTTCGGGGCAGTGGATCAGCTTCATGAGAAAAGATGAGAAGCCCAGTTTATGGGAAGAGGAGTTAGTGACCAACTGCACAACCCTCAGGGAGCGCCCGAGTTCCCCTGCCACCTTCCCCACTCATGTCACACGAAAGACTCTGGAATTCGTTTTTGTGGGGTTGTTCTTTTTTTTGCAAAGTTAAAGCAGCCAATAGTACATATGTTTAAATAATTAATTTGTATTAAACATGAAATCAGCCAGCAAGAGAACATTTTTACCTTTGAAGTTTAGAAGGTGGCAATAGTTTCTTACAGGTTTATATTTCTAGATGTGTTTTTCTTTTCCTTAATTCTCTTATTAGTATACATGACTACACAGTGATTAGGTGATTTAGCAAGAACTTGATATCCATTTTGGTTAACTTCGCATATAAAGTTTATATATAAAGTAGTTTACATTCTTTGTCCCTTGACTCATTAGTTCTTTCTCCGCAGCATGCTAAGATAATTTAGGGCTTATTTATAAAACATGTATCTCTTAGGCTTGGCATCCTTGCTAAGCTTTTTTTTCATTATTGACTATAAAAGCTATTTTTTAAGTGGGTCAAAACTGTGGTATGTTAGAAATACATGGGAATAACAAATCCCCAACACACGAGCTCGTTTCTTCTGAGGGCTTGGTAAATAGTAGAGAAGTAGGTAGGGAGGGGCTCGGGCTTGGTTATGGTAACTGGAAACATTGCTGTGTTGGTCGTGTTTTCTTTTCTAAGCTGGGCTGCATATGCCATGGCTCCTTTCATTTATAAAAGGAAGGTGCCATGTACTTCATTATAAACTAGACTGTATTCCTTGACACACATGAACCTAACTAGAGAAAAATATGTTGCAAATTCAGTTGTAATGATTTTTTTGTTTTGTAAATTTGCCTTTTACTACTGCTCCTACTAGTAAGTTGCATCAGGATATCCTTTATTCCAAAATACAATTTTTTAAGCTGAGATGCCAAGTAGGATGAGACTTGAAATGATTTTGTAGATGTTTGAGGAGTTACCTGAGAAATGGCTGCCTTTTAGAATGTGAGAAATACTCAAATGATGTTATAAATTCATGTTTTAGATTACAGCATAACTGGTTGCTTCCAGCCAGCCTTTATTTCTGCAGTTAAAAATTAACTAATAGCTAATAAATAATATATAGATAAGAAAATTAACCAATTCCTTTTCTTTTAGTTTTTAGAATCTTTCTGATCAATTTTTGAATTGGCCTTTTGCTCAAATGTGGATATACTACTCTAGATTTCAATCTTGTCTAGACAGGTTATCAATTAATACATACAGTTGATTCTTGTCATCTGTAGTAGCTATGTTCTATCAAGGCAATGTGAACACAGCAGTGGCAGATACTGAAACATAGTTCCTAGGGACAATACAAGGTTAGCTTCCTGAGAGCCTCTGGTCACAACAGTGTCATTAGCTGACCTATTTGTAGCCAAATTCACAGATATGAAATCTGCAAATAAGTGTAGACTTATTTGTGTGTATCCAAATACACATAGAGACCAACCACATTTTAAGGGATAACATTTTCTTAGTTCAACTTAGACCAGTAAAAACTATAGCATAGTCAACTATTGACTAAACCTAGGCACATGCAACGACATGCAAGACCATGAAGTATAAAATCCTTCGATCTATTGTTGAGTGAATGACTGTTAGCATGTTAGGTGACTTGTGGTCACCTTTTATTTTTTTCATTCCAAGTAATAAACAAGAAGTGACAATGATGTTAACCCCACCTATTTTGAAATCCCACTTCTCACTGCTTTCTCCCATCTTATGATTTTCATAAAAAGAAATATTTGTACAAAAACAAAAACAACGCAGCTTTTCCCTTCAGGTGATTCTAATCTGGGGCAGGAAGGAATAGGTCCAGTGTGATGACAGATGCTTGAGAAAGCCACAGGGAGGGCACCATAAACATGGAAAAGGCCACAGAGGGAAAATACCCAAATCCGTCCAGACTTTGAAGTCAGGAGGCAAAGGCATCTACATAAAGCCCCCTTGCCACCCTCCCCCGAGACTTTTCCTCCTTGAACATCTTACGGTTTGACATTCTGACTCAGTTTACCAGTCTCTTAATGAGTCACAGATCATAGTTGAGATATTGCTCAGTTCTCCTTTTTAAGGTTGAGGACACCGAGATGCCGAGTAGGACAAGACATGAAATTTTTCTGTAGACGTTTGAGGAGGTACCTGCCAATATAAGCACTCCTGAGCCTGAATGCCTTCTGAGTATCAGGGAGCAATGAGAGGGCTGCTGGGGAATAAGAATTCTCCTCTTTGCTTCTTCCTCTTGCGTAAGGGATTTGCCGCTTATAATAATCTTGTAAAATTACCATGCGTACCCACAGGAAATCCTCTCCCCCGTCTATGGCGGTAAGACCCGTTGTCCAGGAACACATCTCTTCCTTGTTTGATTCTGCAACTTTTGAGATTGTGTTGCTTTTGTGCTTATGAATGTTAATGTAATTCTTATATGAGTCATCTTTAATATACACCTACGGGCCACTAATAAGGGACCTGTGTCTCCGTTTGGCCCAAGTCCAGCAATCTGAAAGCTGGACAGTAAGAAGTACTTCGTACTACACCGAGAAATTCTACTTTCCCTCAGAGCTGACATTGTTGAGTCAGAACCCTGAAAAGTGACCTTACTTGTGACACTGATAGGAGTCCAGGGACACAGAAAAGTTACCCGTAGGGAGGATGAAAAGCTTCTCAAAGCACAGAGAATGCATTGCAGAGCTCGAGGATTCTTGGCTTTTACTGTGAGCTCCTGACCGGTCCTTCTCACCCCTGGTGTTTGCTCTTCAGGGAATAGCAGAAACATGTTGGGGATCTTTCACATACAAATCCATGTTGTTGTTGTTGTTGTTTCATTCTGGTAATATTCTGGATAAGTTTTTTCATCTTTGCCCCTTTAAAGATGTAGTTTCCCATGTTAACTTCTTAAATTCATGACTCAAAGCTCTGAGTCTATATTGTTTTTTAACCCGAGCTAGGTTGTAAATTCGTAAGTTATACCCAAACTTATCGTTTTATTGTTAAAGTGAGATAGTTTTTGTGATGGCTTCCTAATATAGGTTCACTGTATTAAATAATTCCACCGTTTCTTTTTATATACAAAGCCCATCGAAACCATAAATTTGAGGAAGAAAGGAAATCCCCATATGAATTTAAAGGAAGGAGCCCTAATGTCGGGAAGCGTAGAGAAGGTGCTGTTCCATCTAAGTTCGCCCTGGTGGCGGCCTCCTTGAGAATGGCCAGACTCCCCAGGTGCAGCCTAGTATGTATTTTGTCATTGCAGCTACACTGTAAAAAACGAAACTATAGAATTCTTATCTCAGACCATTGCATTGGGAATTTGAGTTCTTTGTTTTAACTCTTAACACCAACTTCAGGTATCATGTTCAAATGTCTGCCTTTTATCTTAAAATTAGAAAAGTTAGTTACCTACTACCATTAATTTACGGCGGAGATAGAGATTTCATCACGCCGCCTCTAGCTATCTATGTCACAAATGTTGGTTTATGTATACATGTTTTTAAAAGGCACTGGACTTAGAAATGCCAAAGTAATTAATTTGTTTTAATTTTCAAAAACAATTAAGTTTTCATGGTACAGAGTGTTCCTAAATGGAAACACTTTCAGATTAATGGATTTAAGATAAATGGTTGCTATTTTCTTTAAGTAGTAATAATGAGATACGGCTTCAGCTATATATCAGATACTAGATCTCACTCTTTATGTCTTTATCTCATTTATTTATTCATTCATTCAACAAATATATATTGAGCAATAAAATAAACAAACAAACAAAACCTTAGACACTGTGCTGGACCCTGGATATGCAGGCAGATTGAATAACTGAGCAGGGGACCAATGGTGAGCAAGAACAGGATCCACACGCCAACCTAAAATGTTCAGTGTGGCTGGGATATATAATGTATGAGTAAGGAGGTCAGGTAGCGGGTAGGAGGGAGTAAGATAAATTATGAGTTCAGGAATGCGATGCAGTTGTGCAGGTTTTGTATGAGCCTGTGGGGTTTCTCCGCTTCCAGAATGACTGGCTGCCTTGGAGAATGGATCAGGCAGGGGCAAGGCTGGGGGCTGGGAGGCATGCGGGAGGCTGTCACAGGTGACCGGAAATGGTCTGGGCCATGGCGGTGGCCGCGGGCTGGGAAGAAGTAGACTGTGAAGAGGAATGGAATACACGTTTACTTACTGAAGACATTGCTGGTGATCTAATGACAGTCTGTTCCTTTTCAAACATGACCACATGTTGCTAATCACTGATTCTAAAGGACACCATTAACCAGTTCAAAGTGTTGACTTCATTAAAAGTCCTCGATACTGGTGAGGCAACATGTACGGACAGACAGGCTCATTGATGGTAATCATAACTGTGGCATTTGTGCCATTTTCTCAGCACGTCCGAATAGCGTTCTGGTCATAATGCTAAGCGTCTCATGTGGGTTATCTTGTTTAACGCGGCAGCCTTCCAGGTGGATGTGATTGTGTCTCCCTTGAACAGGTGGACACTGGGACTTGGAGAGGTTAAGTGCTTGGCCTAAGGTTACACGGCTTGTAAATGGTAGGTCTGTTATTAAAATCTGGAGACTTGTTTGGTACAGGGCGTGACCGTCCCCAAGCCCCTCCCCAGAGCCAGGGTCAAGGCGGAGTTGTGGGCCTCCAGCTCCAGGCTGCCCAGGAAGCCCCAGGTGGCCTGCTTGCACGTTGTTACAAGAGTTGCAATGGCATCTGCAGCAAAAGGAGCAGTTGTTGTTTGATGAGAAATCAGGAGGGGGAAACAGGTCATGCACATGAACAAATAGTGTCCCTTTGAAAGTAGAAGAGTACTTTTCTACTCACAAAATAATATAATGAACATGTTTTTGTTTCTACCACTTTTTCTGAACACTTTGGATGACATCAGCTTCTGAGAGATAACCGAGCTGAAAGAGGACACAAGAAAAACTGCTCTGCGAAAACAGCCAGCAGGTAAGCCGTTCAAAGTCACTTTTGATTCTGATCCCTAAGTTGTGTGCCGTTGTTTTCCATAGCAGTGTGAACGCGGTGAGTTTAGTTGGGTGGCCTTTGGTTCTAAAGCGCCGACTTAAAATATTTTATGTATTGGTTATAAGAATATATTTATGATTACTAGTCATGCATAGTGAGATACCATTTTATGTCTATTTGTAAAAGCTGATGAAGAACAAAGGATAAATTTCTAAAAGAAAATTTCTGTCTTCCATACCTAATCAGGATTTAGAATAATTATTTTATTTTATAATTTAAAAAAGTAGAATTTTTCCCCCAAATTTAAATGGTACTTAGATGTCATAAGAAAGCAACATATTTATTTATTCTTATATGTAAATGAGTATATAGAAAATATAGTCTTTAAAAAATGCTTCTAGGTTCTTGCTCATTTTTTGTTACTGAGTTGATGTTCCTTTTTGTCTTTAATGCAAAGAATTTGCCCCAATATATTGTTTTAGATGATGTATTTTCAAAGTTTATGCGTGGTGATTCTGAAGACTTAATTTTTGTTCATATGAAAATGGCGATCCCAATATTGACCTAAACTACTGCCCTGAGATTAACCCTCACTCAGTTTTTAACCAGGTTACTGACGTCAGCAGCCACCGTTGCATCCCCTCATCCCACGGCCTCCCATCGCGGCCGTGCCAGCCCCTGTATTAATACCCCCACGCAGACGCCACAGCTCCCAGGTACCACGCCATCGAAACTACCCCCACCTGAGAGCCCATCAGATACCTGCAGAAGCAAGTGGCAATTCTATCTTACACACCTAATGTCTAAACTGCACACAAAGGGGTTGACCATCAGTGACAGTCAACATAAAACCAATATATTTATCCCTGAGAATGTCAGATCTTGAAATTATAAATTACCAACAATTATGTAATTATATATACAAGTATGTATATAATTACATGTAATTATATATACTCTGTATAAATGGTATATATTCTGTATAAATTTATATGGATTATAGATAACTGTAGATGAAATGTTTATAGAACAGATCACTATTAGAATTAATGAGGCAGAGGTCGATAAAGGATTGAATAAAAATATAACTGTTAGAAATGAGAAATATGATTCGTAAAGAGAATTAGTGACGTGGAGATACAGCTGACAAAACAGGCCAGACTGTAGCATGAAAATAATACAAGGAGTTGGAAAAATGACAGAGCGGCTCAGAGACACAGAAAAGGTCTAAGATATGTTTACTAACAGCCCTTGATGGAGAGTCTAGAAGGGCTGAGAAAACATGACATTGGAAGAGATGCTAAACATCCCCCAAACCGGCGAACACCAAGTAAAGAAGCGTGTGCCTGGTGGTACGTGGTAGCACGCCCGCCGCAAACGGAGCTCTGAAGAGATTCCAGAGAGAAAGGGTGCAGGTCTACAGGGGGGCTCCCAGGGCCCGTGTTTGTGAAGAGGTGCAGGAACCCCTGAGGGGACTCGGTCAGAGATCCCTGTGTCTTGCTCCACCCTGCAGACCTGCAGAATGACGTTCTCATTCGCTTGCGGGGGGCAGTGGGGGACAGCTTCCTTACCAGAGGAGTTATTTTGTGAGGTGAGGCGTGATGGCTCTGGTTTTCCGGGCCTCTCTGAGCGTCGTTCGATCCCAGTCACCGAAGGACTTGGGGCTGATGCCGACGACTGGCCTTTCCCCAAAGCAGTACCTGGGGGACAGAGAATAAGGCATTTGAGAACAGGCTCTTCAAGAGAAAAACAGTATGTTGGCTTGCTGATTCCAACAGAAGCAGACATATTAGAATAAGCAAGTCCAACAAATTTGAAATTAGCATGATGTATATTAACTAAATAAGATACAGAAAGATATTAACGATGTGAGGTGAAAAATGGAGTATAATTAAGAACCAAATATGTAGGTGGTTTTTAATTTTTCTCAGCAGTGTTTTATAGTTTTTATCATATCAGTCTTACACATATTTTATCAGATTTATCCCTAAGCATTGCATCAATTTTGGGGGATTATGAAAACATTGCTGAGAGGAGTTAAAGAAGACCTACATAATTGGAGAGATATGCCTTGTGTCTGGGTCAGGAGGCTCAATACTCTTAAGATGTCAGCTCTCCCAAAATTGATCTGTAGATTTAATGCAATCCAAACAAAAATCTTATCAGGCTCTTTTATAGAAATTGACAAGTTAATTCCAAAGTTCATATGGAAATGCGAAGGACTTGGAATAGCCAAACTTTAAAAAAAGTAAAAAAGAAGAAAGTTGACAGGCTAACAGTCCCTGATTTCAAGACTTTATTATAAAGCTGCAGTAATGGTGAGTGTGGCGCTGGTGCAAACACAGGGAAACAGACCCGTGGAGCAGGACGCTGAGTCAAGAAGCCCGCTCCCCCAGATACAAGGAGCCCTGGGAAGGCGCAAAGGCAGTCCAGCGGAGGAAAAACAGCAGTTTCAACAAATGGTACTGGAACCACTGGATATCCATGTGCAAAAAAATGAACTTAGATCCATACCTCACACCATACAGCAAACTTAATACAAAACCTGAAAACATACAAACTCCTAGGAAACTTGAGATACAATCTTTGTGACCTTGGGGGAAAAGAGTTTTGGATGGAACCCCAAAACACGTCCATGAGAGAACAAATTGATAAATTGGACTCCATCAGAATTGAAAACGTGTGCTCTTCAAAAGCCACCTTGAAGAGAATGAAAAGGCAAGTCACAGACGGGAAGGAAATATTTGCAAATCATATGTCTGATAAAATACCCATGTCAAGAATTTATAAAGAACTCTAAAAACCCAATAATAAAACATTAATTCAATTAAAAGCAAGCAATGGAGATAGCTTGCCAGAGAAGACACGTGGATGGCAAATCCGCACAGGAAATGATAGGGCAGAGCCCTGGGACTCCGCCTTACGTGACCTTCTCCTGGACCCTGCGGACCCTCTCTGGGAGCCCTGTGACAACAAAGCCGTCGCCTTACTCACTGGTGCAGGTCCAGCCCTGAAAACAGTATCTGGCACGTGGGCAGTGAATACTTGTGCATAACAGATCTGTAGGGTGGCTTTAAAGTGGATTCTCAGTCAGCCCCGCGCGTGGATTGAGACCTTTTCTTAGCCCCTGTGTGCAGCCTCGGACACTAGCATCTGACTTCTCATCCTGGTCTCCCCGTTTACTAGCCGAGGGGTCCTGAGCAAAGCACTCAGCCTTTCTGTCCCTCAGGCCACTTCTTTGTAAAACAGAGGAAATTCCAGTCCCTGCCTCATGACACTGTTGTAAGGAATATATGAGTTAATACCTATAAGGCATTTAAAATGTAAGTGCCTAAATGTAAGCTGTTATTGAAAGTATGGTGTTGTAATTTCTATCTGTGTGTTTCCTAAGCACTTGTTAAATTTCTATTTCTATCGTACTTTTTCTTGTACAGTTTAAGACAGAACAAGGTATAGCAGCCCCAGCCCTATCCTTCCCCTTTCCCTAACTTTATGCTCCATGGAAAACCACTTCAGTTTTTTTTAGCTGTTTATTCTGGTATTGACCTAAATTACATGCTCATATTACTTTTTCTTGAAGGTCTTTGGTTTTGCTGAGCTACTGTTCTTGAGCTACTGTTGTGCGTCCTACACAGACACATACACACACACACATCCCATACCTGCACCTTCTCTCTCCCCCTGCCAGTTATGTCATAATCAGATCAAATCAGTGGCCATTGTTTGCATTAACATGTTTATATGTATGTAGGTGGTTTCCATAGGCGTGTAATTTTTCTGCACATGCTTTGCTTTCTCCGTAGCCCCCTCTATCCAGAAGAGCCACCGCCCTCCTTCCTGTCTGCGGGGCGACCCTCTAGGAGCCTTCTGTCCTCCAGGCCCTTTAGGGACGGTTTGCTGTCCCGACCTGCTGCACTCCCGATGTTCTGGGGTCTCTCCTCACTGCTCTCCCGGGGTTCCCTTCCTCTCCTTGTGGGGTGTCCTGCTTCCTGGGCCCCCTGCCATTATTTGTCCTGAGTTCTCTGTGAAGAGAGCCGGCAGCGTTAAACTCCAGGGGCTCCGCTTGCCTGAAAGCCTTTCTTCTAGGCTCACAGGGCTTGACTTAGCTGGGAATTGAACTCTGGCTCGGGAACCATTATGACTAGGAATTTGAAGGCATTCTTTCCAATGTCTGGTTTTCAATGGTCGCCTTTTTTTCTCTTCTGCCATTATTTGGGTTTTGGAGCACCCTCAAATGATTCTCCAATTTTTTTTTAAAACTTTCCTTTTGTATATTGCCATCTTTAAAGATTTATGGGCAATTTCAGGTCCCAAATCTTTTATTGCTTAAAAATATTCTCTGATACTTTTCATTTCTAAGGGCTGGCCTTGCTTCTTTGATCATTTCTTTGTGTATCCTCTTTGTCCTGTTCGTGGATACAGTGTATTCCCTCCTCTCTGTGAGAGAGCAGGTGTGCTAGGTGCGGGGCACTTTGTAGAGGCCAAATACCAGGACAGAAAGACTTACTCATTTAACTTTTGCAACACTTTTTATTAATTGCAAGACAGCAGCTCTTCACTTTTTTATTTATATGCACTATTCTCTGTTTCTCCCTTAAAAGTCACTCTTTCTTAGTATGTTTAAGATTGTCTTGACTTTTCTTACTCCTTTTGGATGAGTGACTGCACTTTGCTTTCTCAGCTTGTGGAAAATCTAAAGGTTAGAGAACAGAACTGGAATGCGTTACATCAGTAAATTTTAGGATCACTGAGTCCCCCAAATACCAGGCAGGTCCGTGGCTAACGACTCGAAGGAGAGGTCTGGGAATTGCATGGCAACCACAAGCTCCGGGATGGGCCTCCTCGCTGCACGAGGCTCCGATTTAATCCGGCCCTGCGGGGAGAGCTTGCCCACGCAGTGCACCTCACCCCCAGCTCCTCAGGGCAATGTTCAGGACCTTGTAGAGGGGCTTCAGAGACATTGTTCCCAACGCCACCAACTA